TGATGAAAACAGATTCTGTGTAGAAAATAGTTGCACTGCTAAGGAAGAAATATAATGAATGATGCATGGATGAGTAAATGAAAAGAAAGGAAATTAATGCATGACTTTTATCCTAAAATGATATGCTAATGTAAACTAAGAACCCAAACATAACAGAATCTAAATTCTACTGCTACCTATTAAAAAACAAGTAATAGAAAGAAATTTTAATTGGATAAAAGAGAAAAATATCCGAGTTGCAACTGTGAATGAACGAAGTAAAAGATACATGGCATTTTACAAACAATCAAAGAAAACAGAATTTAAATCTAATCCTAATCACATATCATAATAAATCCAACTCACAACGCCACAAAGGACTCCACGTAAGCCAATACATGACATTTCACTCTGTAATTGTACATATGAACATATGCCCGTTAACGATTTAAACAGCGTTTGCAAAAGAGACCAAATTGAACAAAAATTACATTCTTTAGGACTACATTAAACAACAAAAGAAAATTTGGACCATTTCGAACATTCTCAACCAAAATTGGGACCAAAATAGGTATTATACCAATGAAATAAGAAATCAAAGACTCAAACTATAAAAGCCTTAAATCTGGACCTATTCACAACTTCATTCAAACCTGCCAATTCAATCATTTCCCAGCCATTTCATCAAACAGAACTGCACAAAATAATTCTCAACCTTAAATCTGAGCATCAGCAATCCAGCAAGTGATAAACAGCCAAATTCAGCCAAATTCAGCAATGAACACAGTCAGAAAAGTAGAAATCAGTTTAAGCCTCACAGGAACAAGTGTTTACATTCAGATTCACTCAACTGTTTAAAGGTTATCCTGTTTCACTCACTCGTGACATGTTAACTTCCATTCTTAACTTTGAAAGGACTCTAAGTGAAAGTTCTCAACTCATGGTTTCATCTAGATCAAAAGGTCTTTATGTAATGTAAATGATATGAAAGGTTAGAAAACACAAGGCTAATGGAAGTAGAAGCTGTGAAGAAGAGTAAGAACCTAGAACTTAGTGCATTGTTTTTGATATTTTGGCCAGTCCAATTTTTTTTTCTCTTTCTCTCTGATTTTTACACACTATCAGGTCTCATTTTTCAATTCCTTTGCATTTTTCTCTTGTCCAGACCTGCTCTTTTCTTTTTTCTCAACCAGATTTACTGAACTTTTTTTGTTCTGGCCTAACTTTTCTGTTGCACTCACTAAGCTCCTAGATCCTCCATCCCTCTCACATGTCTCTACAGGTTAGGTATTTGGTGGGGGAAAAGGCTTGTAATGAATGGAAACAAAAAAATAGGCTATGGCTCAAAAGAAAGGTACAATGGTAAAACTGAAATGAGTAAGATAATTTGACTATGGATGAAGAAAAAGAATGCCTAAATCATGTCTAAATTCTACCAAGAGCAAGCTTATCACATAGAATCAATGCAAAATCAGAATTAAAATCAAACATGCATGTAATCACACCAGAAAGACAAAAATTTGGCCCAAAATCTCTCCAGGGTTAAGAATTTGCTAAAACTGACTTGCTACCATCTTTTATGCAAAAATTGCTTTTATTAGACTGAACTCAGATGCAAAAACCAAAACTAGGACTACTTCTACTTGAATCTAAACCATAAAACTATATGAACAGTTCTAATCAAAGAAATGAAGCTAAGAAATGAAGTAAATCAACAAAGAATTGAGAAAAAAGTATGAAACAGAACCTAAAAATGTCTAACAATGTCTAATAGCATGACCAAAACTATGTACAACCTATAAATGGGAAGATTGGATAGTATGTAACTAAGAAGAATCAAAAACAAACTCAATTTCAAAGAATACGAAAGAAACTAGCAAATGAAAAAGATCCCAAGAAAAATTCCTAAACTATATCCAGCCTATACAAGGTAGAAATAACCTATGTACAACTAAGAAAACCTAAACTAAACTAAAACTGCTAAACAGAACAAAATATAACCTAAACAACTCCCAACTAAAGCTTCTACGAAAGAAAACAGCAAAAGAAAGAAAAACAACTCCTAATGGCAGCTTAAAACAGAACCTAAAATGGGAAGAACCTAAAGCAATTCCTATTTACATAAGCAATGAACAAAGAATGGTCTAAAGAATTAAAGCAAAACATTGAAACAGAAAAAAAATAGAATGAGGAAAAGAAAACTGGCACAAGCTCTATTTACAAAAATAATGGACAGAAAAGAACCTAAACAAACCTAGAAACAACCTAAAACATATCAAAAAGTAAAGATGCTATAATATTCCTAATAGAAACCTAGGTAGATCCTATAAAAGAAAGAATTCTAAAGCAAATGTCTATGTACAAAAACTAAAGCAGAACTACTAATACTTAAAACAAGACTTAAAGAAGCTAAAACAGAAAGAGGAATAGAAATTCTAAAAATAAAGCCTAATCCTAAAACAGATTCTAAAAGCATCAAAAACTGAGTATTTACAAGCTAGAACTAAGTATTTATAAACTGAAACAAAACTGCAATCAACTCAGAAAAAAAAAATTACTCCTATTTTAACTACAAAAGCACATACTAACAGATGAAAGTTAAAGTAAAAAAAGCAATTGAAACTATACCTTCTCACCCCCACACACTTAAGAGGCACATTATCCTCAATGTGTGAATGAGAAAGGTTCCTAAATAGTACATATTTCACAGATAATTACACCACATATAGCAACAAGTATGTACAAATCAAACAGGGCAGAATTATATCAGAATAGAATTGAAAGACCTAAACTTGAACAAAAAAATATGTACATAACAACACTATAAACTAAACACAATTGAACACACAATGTACATGAACAAAACTGGAAAAAGCTAAACTAAATCTGCAAAGCTACAAGACAAAAGAAAATTTCAAATTGGCCACAAGTCAAAATTGAATTTTTTAATTTTTATATAAAACAACATATTTTCTATCCTACTATTTACTATAATATCTATTACTATGCAAGCTATTAACAAGAACCTATAACTACTATTTAAGGTAAAGGGAAAGAAGTGGCTTATTGTTTTTGGTGTTTCTCAATGCTCAGCCTCTCTTTGTATTGTTTCCATGGATGTACTGAAGTCCTCCTGCTCAACCATTTGTTGCAGCAATTGCAGTTCTCCATTCAAAGCTTGTTGCTAATTCTGCACATTTAAATCACCTTTATGCAGTACCCAAAGCTCCTCATTAAATTGTTGTTGGTCTTGCAAGTTCCAGGTTTTTTGAGCAGCACTAACACCATCTCTTGCCTTCACCAAAGCTGTCTCTATGTCTGCAATGTGCGCAACTGCCTCAAAAGTTGAGTCTGCAGTAAGTGTAAGATCTTCCCCATTTAAATCAAAGTCAAAATGCACAATTGAGTTATCAAACATTTCAAAATTGTCACACGTAAAAACAGAAATATGTAGCAGATCATCTATAAAATATGCATCAAAATTACAACACTTAATATCATCTGTTTCAATCTGGTCCACACGAACAATTTTATCTAGAATCACAGAATGACCAGACACAACATCATAGAAATCAGTTACAGGTTCCAAAGGTTCAGCATTCAAAAGAATATCAACACTAGTTTGCATCTTAGCCAAACTAATAGGAAGTTTAAGTTTAGATTCAACCTGTACTGGCTCCTCAAAAGTGACCTTACCAATCTCCATCAATTCAGCATAGTCCATCATACTATCATCAAAACTATTATCAAGATCAGTGCACAAATCATTAACAACATCTGGAATCTCCATGTGTTCCAACAAATATTGAATCCAAAGTGTGAGTGTGTGCAGGCATAATAATAACAGAGTCCAAAACAGGCTTTATTGGATCAATCTTTAAAAGATCAAAAGCATCAATATCTACTTGAACCTCAGGCACATGAATAGGAATGTCAAGTTTAGAATAAACCTGCACTATTGGCTCATCAGCTACCTCATCATGATTCTCACCAAATAGCTTGCTTAGCAGCTTTCTTGCCTCATATGGGGTCTTGTCCAGTAGAGAGCCTCCAGCTGCTACATCAACCAATACCTTGTCTTTGTAAAGCAGGCCCTCATAAAAATAGACCAGAAGCCTGGACTCTGAAATCTGGTGGTTGGGGCAAGCTGTACAAAGCCCATTGAACCTCTCCTAGTACTCAGTCAGACCTTCTTCTTGAAATTGTTACCATAAATGTAACGTTCCAAATTATATAGAACTATATAATATAGTAGTCCACATTTTAATATAATAGAACAGTTGGAATAAGACTTGCAGATAAAGTCTTAAGGTTACAGTCATCCCAAAAATGGCTATAATTTAAAACTTTAAACACCCATAAGAGTATTTCAAGATAATATAACTTAAGTAAGAAATGCTAAACAAACTAAGTTGCATCATCATCACCATCCAGGGCCTGCTCCAAGGGTACCTCATCTACCTCTGCTCACATCCAAGTGGATGATCATTGCAACAGAAACACGACACAAACAATAGACAAACACAAGCAGAAGGGTGAGCTAGATATACAAAAATCATGTTATAACAATCACACACAACATGCAAGTTTAATTCAAAGTTAATGAACCATACAACACCACTTGTTACACTTTACACTTGACTCGTCTGGACTTAGAATGATTGCCGAGCTATGGCGGGTTATGCACTCGTGGTGGCTTATGAAACTTGGGTTCCCCACCCTACCACACTCACGAGGTTAGTCTGTTCCGGGCCTTGAGGCATACTGGGAGCCCCCAAGACTAAGACCTCCTCCTACTCCTCACCACATGGTTCAATCCTCTCTACTTGAGAATGACAGACCATTGAAGCGTCAAGAAAACCCCCAAGACTAAGCTACCATGCAAATCATTCTAAACACCAAGGGCACCACCATGAATCTTCTCCTTGAAGATCATGGAGTTACGTCCAATAACATAAGGCACCACCATGGCTATGATCTCCCTCCTGAGGTTAGCTTCTTTAGCTACTGGAAAGTACTTGTTGAGGAACCTCTACTACATCTCTGGGTAACTACCAAGAGGGTATTGCTGATACAAGAACCAGTCTCTTGCTGCACCTTGCAGAGACATTGGAAATGTCTTCATCATCACTACCTCCTCTGGAAATCTAGTAGGCTTCATGGAGGAGCACACCCAGCTAAACTCTTTGATGTGCTTGTGTGGGTCTTCATGTGCTAGCCCATGGAACTTAGGCGTTCTTTTAATCAACTTGTATAACCAGTCCTGAGAATCAGTCATCTCTTAAAGTCTGGTGCAAGCCTGTTTTCAACCTGAACTATACCAACACAAAAAATCATAACAAGGAGAGAAACCACTATTTACAAATTTTAAAATTTTCAAAAACTAATGCTAAACAAAAAGAAAGATAAAAACCTACAAGGCTAATTCTACAACTCTAAGACTTAAGTCGCCAAAGTCCCCGACAACTGCGCCATTTGTTGAAAGGATTTTGGTCGCACAAAAGTCAACAAACCTAGTCCCCACTAATGTAGTATAGGGGCAACCTAGGGAATCAATCCAAGGACTTGGTACTTATTAAGTTGAGAATTTTAGAATTACAACCTAATTATTTATTTACTAAAACTAAAACTAGGTGGGGAAATAAATGAAAAGTGTAATCTAAAATATGAATCTAATTAGTATTAAAAAACAAGTAATCGAAAGAAATTTTAATTGTTTAAAAGAGAAAAACATCAAAATTGCAACTGTGAATGAACGAAGTAAAAGATACATGGAATTTTACAAACAATCAAAGAAAACAGAATTTAAATCTAATCCTAACCACTTATCAGAAAAGAATTGGTTAAACACATATTTGTTATTGAATTAAACTTGAATTCTTAAAGCAACCTATGTCTCAAGAAGACATCTTGAACAGTCAAGCCCTCTTTGGGGTCTTGTAGCATCTAATCTAGATGATATGGATAGTCTTCTTTAAGTTTCAAGTCAAATTCAACTACAAAATGCACTTAACAAGACTAAATCAATGCAAAAATCAAACAACAAGAGTGTTGGAAATTTAAAAGTGCAAAGAGAAATGTAAATTGAAACTAAAATTGGAAAGGGCAATTGTTATTAAGAACTGGAAATCAAAAGGACAAATACCAGAGTCTAAGAATCCACCGTCTGTCACCCAATGGAGAGATTAAAGAAACCCAGTGAAGCAAAGAATGTATCTACTTCTAGGAAAGCTGGAAATTCTAAAACTAGAGCAAGAAATTGGAAAACCTAATCTAAGTACATCGTCTATCACCCAGTGCACGTATAAACCTAAGAATGGTTCCTGTCACCCACCACCCGTGTTTACACTTTACAAGACTTCCTTTATATAGGGAAAGTCAAAAACCGAAAAAGAAAGAAAAGGGGGAAAGGGGGAAGAATCGGTAACTAACTCCGGAAGCCTTGCAAAGCATCTTCAACTAACTTTTTGCCACTTCGCTCTGCCTTTGATCAAACGCTTCTCCCTTTCTCTTAATCTTCAGCCATCCGATCAACTCTGCATTGCTTCCGATTTTCTTCCCCGGACCGATCAATTTGGGTTGGCTTCCTTTTTGGGCCGAACATCCTTCTTCTCTTTGCGCTGAAGAACCTTAGGTGCTCTTCTTTTCTTCACGAACCCTAGCTATTGGGTTTCGAATGTTAGGGACAAATCTCAATTGCTCGAGCCTCTCTTTGGACAAAGGATTTGTGAAGTAGGAGACCTCATCAGCTTTGGGCAAATCGCACCAGGAAACGTTGCGTTTCATTAAACCAGCAAAAGGGCTTCAGCCCAACTCTTGCATTAAAAGTTTATTTTGTGAGATAGGGAGACTTAAAGGACCGTAAAGTTGGTTGAACACGGTAAGCAGACCATCGTGGATGGTTGGAAGGCCTAATTCTAGGAACATGATGTTTCCTAATGAAATTATTATTAATGGTGGCCTGCAGACGATTAAACACTGCAGTGTTTGAATCCAACCCCATGTTTCTACAAAGTGAGTAATTAAGGTAGGAAACCCCAAACTTCCTTAAGAACTACTAGCAATTATAACAATTCTCGCATGAAATATGGACCCCAATGTCTATCTCCATATCAATAATTATCCTATAAATGAGATAAGATCTCTCCAAAATTAGTATTGGGAGTCAAGTTGATATAAGAGATACACTTCACATTTGTGCCAAAGAATTGAGGTTCTTCTGCTTTTGTGCCAATTGACCCATTTGAGTCTCTAAATTATGGATGTATGCTTTGTGCTCTTGTTATTACAGATGACGACTTGCATGAATTGTTTCAATATTTCTTCAAGCTTTGACGTTCTTTCATGCAAAGAAGGTTATTGATGTTGTTGAGGTGGCCTATGTCAAGGTCCAACTTATCCTGTGCTTGGATGAGACTTCCATCCTTGATTGTAGTGCTCGTAATTTCCTTACCGACCTTGATTTACCATGTAATTAGCCTCCTCTCGAGCCTAACTTTACATGGAATATTGCCTGTTAGCATGACCTCCACCACACAACGCACAACTTTGTGCTAATTGTTGGTGTTGGGGTTGAGAGACATTTTGGAGCTCTTGTGGAAGTGCTAAGAGTTTCTTCACAAGAGATTTCAGTTGTTGAGCATCAGTTTCTTTTGAGTCAACAATGTATCTTGAGTTTGCAACTCCGATACACCTTTGTTCTACACTTGAATTCTCTCGTTCTGCACTTCAAAGTCATTGGATGCAATATTCTCTATTAATGCTTTAGCTTCCTCGGGTGTCTTTGACTTGATCATGCCTCCAATTGAGACATCTAACATCAAATTTGTATATGCTCCCAATCCTCCCAAGAAGAGGTTGATTTGTGTTAGTTCATCAAATCCATGGATAAGAGTCTTCTTGAGCAATCATTTGATATGTTCCATGCTTAACTTAATGTTTCATCATAATCTTGGCAGAATGAAGTAATCTCTTGTTTTCATTAGTTCACCTTTGACTGAGGGAGGAATTTGTGAAGAAACCTTGTAACAACATCATTTCAAACAACCAAGTTATTCTCAGGGAACGAATGCAACTATTGGTGAAGCTTCACTTGCTTCCTTGAAAAGTTGCCAGCGTATATTGTTATTTCTCCATGTCGTTCTTTCAATTTCAGGATCGTATATTAATTAATCCATTAGAATCCTACTTCCCATACAAAACAAGGAAACACTAGAAGGAACAAGTTAGTAGTAATTATTTATCTATATATAAAAAAAGTTAACTATACTAAAATATTAAAAGAGAAATATATAAAGAAATTATAAACAATTTAAACCTAAATTGGTAAATAAAACACAACTTACTAAACCAAACACCAGTCCCCAACAATGGTGCCAAAAACTTATTACAATATTGACATTTGTACCAAATCGTACAAGTAATAAAGTGGATAAGTCTAGATAACAATTTCTCAATAGACTCGCGTTGTTTACAAAAACTATGATTATTTATTGATTTAATCGAAAAACTGTGAAGGAATGAAGATTATTGATTTATAAATAAAATAAATCTAATTTCTAGAAAACAATGAAGTTGATTAAATGAAATATATGGTAAACAGTAAACAATATACCTCTAATTCCTACTGTAGAATTCACACCACTATTTAAAAAGCCCTAAGTTTTTCGAAACAAGTATAAACCTTAATAATAAAAGTTCTAATATCTTAGATATTTTTACCGTAGATTCGAATTAAGCATTAAGTTTGGATATTTCGAATGACTAGTCATTAAATCTCCATATCTAGAGTTGAATATAGGTTAAAACCTGATGACAAATCCCCTAGCCATTGTCAAGCACGTTCAAGAGAGTGGAAGCCATAAATGAAGATGACATCAACTCTACCTTGTGGGCCACCTTTGGAGCCATCATGGAGCATGGATTGAAGAGTAATGTAGGTTTATTTAAGCCTTGCATTTGGCCATGTTGTGTAGGTTTAACTAAGGCTTGTATTAAGACCTAAGTAGCATAGGATTCTCAACTAAGTTAGATATCCAAACTAAGTGTAAAGTGTGTGCCATGTGGCATGCTTTCATTGGAGATGATTTTCCTTTTAAAAGGTAGCCACATGGCACCCTAGGAGTGAAGATTATTTACTTTTAGTAGTGGCCACATGACACTCTAGGAATGGAGAGGATTGTGTTTTGTGAGTGGCCACATGTCTTGCCATCATTGGATAGATTAGAATGCCTCATTTTTGGCCAATGAGAGCAAAGGTGGAAGATCATGCTTTTAGGGTTAGAAGGAGACACCCTTGGCCTATAAATAGTTTCATCTTGGAATTAAGTAATGTTATGCTGCCAAAATATGGCCATACTCTTCCTTGATCAAGACTAGAACAACCCTAGAGGCCCTTCTAGTCACCTCCCTCCTTGAGTTGGCCTAACCTCTCTTGGAGCCACCAAACACTACACCATCACCATCATATCTTCTAGAGGCTTTGAGCTTCTACCCCATCCATACCTTAACTCATCATCCTTGGAACATTTACCAGCACACTTCCGCACCATTCATACAAGGAAACACCCTTCCATGCACATCTCCTAGCTTTGTCCCAACCTAGTCAAGGAGGTTGCCATCAAAACCCTCAGATGGTCCTCATGTGTGTTCTAAAATCTCAATTCGGTCCTCAAGTTTCAAGTTGTCTCAATTGAGTCCTAATTTTCAAAAATGTGTAATAAATAGGGCCTTTCCATTAAGTGGAACAAAACGACGTTAAGATGTGCTGAGGTGTAATATTTAGCGAAAACATGTGTCATTGTTGAGTTATTTTGATTCATTAACATGTTATTTCATCCCCTTTTTATGATAAACTGTTTTCCCTAATATTTAAATGTAGCCCTAACATTGTTCATCTTCTTCTTCGAACATTGTTGAGGTCAAGCATGTCTCGTTCTTCTTTTTCTTGCATTTGCAATGGTTGGGGATGGATTCAACATAGTAGCGGCGCCGCAAGGAGGTTGGGTGTAAAACCCATTTTCTTCTGTGGTTAGAATGCACTGTTAAGAACTGCGAAGATGCCTAAGAATAAGGGAAAACAATTGTGGGGGTGCCTAAAGTTTAAGGTAAGATGGATAGAAAATGGTTGTTTATATTTTTATTATGAGCACAAACCATAACAAAAATGGATGTTTTAAACTGTGATTTATTGTGTTGTTGAACAGAGGGGAAATGAAGATTTTTGTTGCTTGGAATTATTTTCAATGGTGCAGTGAGCACGGGATTGATGGAAATCCAAGAAATAAAGAAATGTGTGCACCTGTGGTGAATCTAGAAGAAAGGGATGATGAAGGTCGTCCTAAAAACAAAGAAATGATTGCCACTATGTTGGAGATGGAAGAAAAAGATGTTGAAAAGATTAAAATATCAAGAATAGAGAAATTTTATTTTATGTTAATGAGAATGGTGTTTGTGATGTGTGTTTTTAATGTAATTGGATTTCAATGTTGATGAAAGTTGGATGATTTATTATAAAATGTTGATGTAATGTAATTATTAGTTTGTTATGTGTGTTTTTAATGTAATTGTGTAATTATAATTGTAATGTTAATGTACTTGATGTAATGTCATTTAATTAATGACATAATTCTAGCAATATCTAAAAATTTGAACTTGGTAATGTCATAAATAATGTAAGCATAACCACTTGATATTTCATTTTATACCAAAAAAAAGTGACCTCTAGGAACCTGACAATATAGTCAACAAAGTATTACATCAAAATGAAGGTGGAAATAGTCAACAAACCAAATACATGCACAATTGGGTACAAAATTAAAACCATTGTCCAACAAATGTAATTAACCATTACATCAAAATCAAGGTGTTAATATTGAAGAAAATAAAAGTACAAATATTTTTCACAAATTTGACGTTGGAGGTGCAGGGTCATTACATCACAACATGAGAATATTCCTCAAGAGGGTGGTTGCATCTGTGGGTGCCACTGGTGTCTTGTGTTTGTGGTCATTGTGGGAAAATCTTTTTTGTGTCTAATTACCTTGCATACACCACATGTTTTTTTGAATCCTCCTTTTCTTAATTCATTATCATTCTACTTTATCTCCCATGGATCAAGTCATTTCTTTTTCTTAGGCCTTCCTGACATTGTTTTTTTGTTTGGGGAAGTACATCAGGATATGGTGTTCCCGCATGTGTTGACCATAGAATAGATGATTGAATTGTAGGTCTCTTCACATGTTGTCTTCCTAAACCAATGGTCAATGAAGTCTTGTCCATTTAAATTAAGAAATTTCATTGCAGCAATAACATGACAACAAGGAACTCCACTAATGCTCCATTTTCTATACGTGCAATCCATTCTGTCAACATTAACGATAAGCTGCTCCCCAAATTGGGATACATGCCTTACTTCAAATAATTTATCCATTGACCACCTGCATGTATGGAAAGGCACAACACAGTTTACATTAAAGTACTCATGATGTAAAAGGATATTAATAGCTATGATTAATGTTACCTTGGTATCTAAAATTTGGTTAAGCTTGATTCTTTTGGAAATCTATTTAGTACTTTGGGACAAATAGAGCCTTCATATGATGACATCTTTGTCCTGTTTGTAGCCCATCTCCTTATAATGTATACCCTAATGTCCTTTAACATGCTAATAATGGGTTTAGACCTACTATGAACTAGTATACTATTGAAGCCCTCACACATATTGTTCACAAGAGTGTCGCACTGTGATATAGGGGTGAATCTAGATCTTGACCAAAACCTGGTTTCATGTATGTCAATGAATATAAGTTTGTAAAGTATGGATGACAAATGTATATCAGTATTATAACAATAAATGCTTACTTGGGTGCAATAACAATCAAGTATTTAAAGACATCCAAATTGACCTCTTTCATGTTCCTCATCTCACTCTCCCAATGTTGTGGATATGTAGTAGTTGCTGCCCTCTACATAAGACGTCTAAGATTCTTTCCTGGAAATTTATTTCAAAAATTTGAATAGAGATGTCTAACACAAAATCTTTGTTCTACTCGAGGTAGAAGTTCTTCAATAGCTGGCAAAAGACCCTGACATTTCACAAAAAAAAAATAGTCA